TGTTGAGGGTTGGGCCCAAAAAAAATGTAAATTTGAAAACCATAATGAGTTTCCATGCGAATGGTCTGGCAAGGTTTGAATTTGGGTTGGCGGCAATAAATTGTTGTGCATATAAACTGCTTTGATCCACAATCAACGCATACAGATATTCCGTGAAAAACAACTCCAAAAATCAAGGAGGTATGTGAAAGATTAGTATGTACTAGACCGCTGGTACTCGACAGTTCACCAAAAGGTAGCGCGGCACTAGCACTGGCACTCTGCTGCATGTGAGAGTCATCAAAATTTACCGACAAGTGCTAACAGAGATCAGGCCTGATTCTGCGAACACTGCGGTTTTGTGTGCAATGTATCAAAGTGACAGTGACCTACTGGTGAAAACCACGGGGAGCGCAAATCACACACACATATATATATATATATATATATATATTGTGACAGTATGAACGGCAAAGTGATGGATGGAAGAGATCATACTGGGAGGTGTAAGGTGGAGTCCACTCCGGGTTTTCAGGGCCACAATGGCAGAGGTGGTTCCGAACCAGAGTTTGAACTCCACTAATGACCACCAACAGGTGATACAAAAAGGGCCGGGCTGGAGCAAGGAGTCGCTCGTGGGCTGGGACTCAGAGAGGTATTCTGAGAGAGCTGTGTGTATGGACTATACCTACAAGAAAAGGTTTGCTGTTATTTTGTTTTGGTGACAGGGAGAAGCCCTTCACCTCTGAGAGAGGAATCATCTTCTGTTTAGTTAGTGCCTGGATGGCAAGGGTTTATTTTGATGTTTTGTTTATTTTGATATTTCTTGCAAACCTTTTTAATAAAACTGACAACCAGTCAGATTTTGACGAAAGCCTGCTGTGCGGTCTACCTTTGTCCCAGGGAAGGAGATCCCCCCACCTGAGCTAACCCCACATATGGTGGATTTGGCGGGCAACTTTCTGAGCAAGTGGGAAGATGGAGGAAATAATAAGAGCCTTGCTGCAGGCCAATGCAGCACAACGGGAGACAAATCGCCAGTTTGCGGAGGCCCAAGAAGCAGACCGAGAGCTCCTTAAGCAGGTGGCCCAACACCTATTAGAATTAAAGAAGGAATCTGCAGATCCGCTGCCAGTGGAGCAGAAAATGGCACGGGCCAGCTATGTTTTGCAGAAGATGACACCTGCGGATGATGTGGAGGTCTACCTCACAACTTTTGAAAGGGTTGCTGTTCGGGAAGGATGGAAAAAGGAGCAATGGGCAGGACTGCTTGCACCATTTTTGACAGGTGAATCCCAAAAAGCCTATTATGACCTGGAACCAGGGGATGCCCAGGACTATGAGAAACTGAAGGCTGAGGTCCTTGCATGCCTGGGTGTCACCATTGCAGTCCGGGCTCAGTGGGTGCATCAGTGGCATTACAGGGCTGACAAACCACCCAGATCTCAGATGTTCGATTTGATACATCTCTCCAAAAAGTGGCTCCAGCCAGAGGTGTTGTCAGGCCCTCAGATTGTGGAGTGTGTGTGGTCATGGACCAATATTTGCGTGCACTCCCTGCCACTTTGAGGAAGTGGGTCGGTCGTGGAGACCCTAAATCTGCAAACGAGCTGGTGGACCTGGTGGAGAGATATGCAGCCGCTGAGGACTTTTTTCATGCACCTGGGCCGTACCCCAATGTCACTAGGGGTGGAAAACTATATTTATTAATAACTATGGAAAACTATACTAGATTTCTTCTCCCACCTACCTGGACTGACGACGGTCATACAGCATGACATAGTTACCCAGCCCGGGGTCCGCGTAAATGTCAAGCCCTATAGAATACCCGAGGCCAGGCGGGAAGCGGTGGCAAAGGAAATAAAAGACATGTTAGAGTTGGGAGTGAGAGGAATCTCACAGTGAGTGGTCGAGTCCCATAGTGTTGGTCCCAAAACCCGATGGAACTATTCGTTTCTGTAATGATTTCAGAAAACTGAACAGTGTGTCTAAATTTGATGGGTACCCGATGCCTCGGGTCGATGAGCTCATTGACAGGTTGGGAACGGCTCGGTACATAACCACCTTAGATTTAACCAAAGGCTATTGGCAGCTTCCTTTAACGGAAGCTGCAAAAGAAAAGACGGCATTCTCTACCCCCGAGGGGTCCTTTCAGTATAAGTGGATGCCGTTTGGTCTACATGGTGCTCCGGCATCATTCCAACGAATGATGGACAAAACGTTAAGACCACATCGCCAATATGCAGCTGCCTATTTGGACGATGTCGTCATCCACAGTCCAGACTGGGAGTCTCATTTGTCCTGCCTGCAAGCGGTAGTAGATTCGCTGAGGGAAGCAGGTCTTACCGCTAACCCCAGAAAGTGTGCCATAGGCTTAGAGGAGGCCAAATATCTTGGCTACATCATTGGTCGAGGTCTCATTAGGCCTCAAATCAATAAAATTGAGGCGATTCAAAAGTGGCCCCAACCTGTAAATAAAAAGCAAGTCCGGCCATTTCTTGGGATCACAGGATACTACAGGCGGTTTATCCCCAATTTTGCCATCATTGCAGCCCCACTGACAGATCTGACGAAAGGTAGGGGGTCGGTCATGATTAAGTGGAATCCCGAGGCGGAGACCGCATTTCAAAGGCTGAAACAAGCTCTCTGTGCCCAACCTGTGCTTGTGACTCCAGATTTCACAACAGAGTTTGTGGTACAGACTGATGCCTCTGACGTGGGACTAGGTGCGGTACTGTCAGGGCTCCCAGGTGTGACCAGAGGTGTGTGGCTGACGCAGGGAAACGCAGACCTCAGATAGTGTTAATAAATTATATTGTTTATAACATAACAATACAAACATAAACGCAGTGCAATACTAAAACATAATACAGTGCAACCAAACCAAACCAACCACCCACAGATAACAGTACATACAAGCAAGCGTCGTCAGGCAGGCCGGGTCAATATCAATAGGGCAGGTAGGTACAGGGGGAGCAAGCGGAGATTGGTCGGGGTCACAGGCCAGGTTCAGCAGGTAGCAAGCAGCGTAGTACAGAGGGTCAGGCAGAGGGATGGTCAGGGTCACAAGCCAGGGATCAGAACAGGTAGCAAGCAGCGTGGTACAGAGGGTCAGGCAGAGGGATGGTCAGGAGCGAGCCGGGATCAGAGCAGGAGAAGTCAGCAGCGGTTCAGAAACAGGATGCAGGACAGAAACAGGATACAGGGCCCAGGACAAACACAACACCAAGGCAGAGTCTGTGGGTCTGGCCATCCCTTAAATACCCCAGCATAATCAATTCCAGGTGTTAGCTGGCTGCAAAGTTGAGTCTCTGATTGCTGGGAGCATCCGCTGGCCAGCCCTGGTCTGGTCTTGCAGATCAAAAGGCAGGTGAGTCCCACCATTGCTGGCCAGTCCATTCCTGACAGTACCCCCCCTCAAGGAGCGGCCTCAGGACGCTCCAAACAGTCCTAGCTGGGAAAAATGTTCCACCGCCCGGGTCTGGTAACTGGCGGGATATCAAAGACTGGCACACCGGGCAGAACTCCGGGCAGCGGCACACTGGGCAGAGGCACTCCGGGCAGGGCAGAGGCACATCGGGCAGAGGCACATCGGGCAGAGGCACTCCGGGCAGAGGCACTCCGGGCAGAGGCACATCGGGCTGGACTCCGGGCAGAGGCACATCGGGCTGGACTCCGGGCAGAGGCACATCGGGCTGGACTCCGGGCAGAGGCACATCGGGCTGGACTCCGGGCAGAGGCACATCGGGCTGGACTCCGGGCAGAGGCACATCGGGGCTGGACTCCGGGCAGAGGCACATCGGGCTGGACTCCGGGGGCAGAGGCACATCGGGCTGGACTCCGGGCAGAGGCACATCGGGCAGGACTCCGGGCAGAGGCACATCGGGCAGGACTCGGGCAGAGGCACATCGGGCTACCAGGCGAAGCGGCAGGCACCGGGCCCCCGGGCGGGGGGGTGACAGGCACCGGGCCCCCGGGCGGGGCGACAGGCACCGGGCCCCCGGGGCGGGGCGACGGGCCTCGAGCCCCCGGGCGGGGCGACGGGCCTCGAGCCCCCGGGTGGGGCGACGGGCGCCGGACCCCCAGGCGGAGCTACAGGTCTCGGGCCCTCAGGCGGAGCGGCGGGCGCCGGACCCCCAGATGGAGCGACAGGTCTCGGCCCTCAGGCGGAGCGGCGGGCGCCGGACCCCCAGATGGAGCAACAGGTCTCGGGCCCTCAGGCGGAGCAACAGGTCTCGGGCCCCCAGACGAAGCGGGGCGGGCACCGAGTCACCAGGCACGACAGTGGGCACCGAGTCGTCTGGCAAGACTGCGGGCACCGAGTCAACTGGCGGAACAGCGGGCATCGAGTCAACTGGCAAGACTGCGGGCACCACCGCACCGAGTCGTCTGGCAAGACTGCGGGCACCGAGTCGTCTGGCAAGACTGCGGGCACCGAGTCGACTGGCAAGACTGCGGGCACCGAGTCGACTGGCGGAACAGCGGGCACCGAGTCGTCTGGCAAGACTGCGGGCACCGAGCCAACTGGCGGAACAGCAGGCTTCGAGTCGACTGGCAAGACTGCGGGCACCGAGTCGACTGGCAAGACTGCGGGCACCGAGTCGACTGGCAAGACTGCGGGCACCGAGTCGACTGGCAAGACTGCGGGCACCGAGTCGACTGGCAAGACTGCGGGCACCGAGTCGACTGGCGGAACAGCGGGCACCGAGTCGACTGGCGGAACAGCGGGCACCGAGTCTTCTGGCAAGACTGCGGGCACCGAGCCAACTGGCGGAACAGCAGGCTTCGAGTCGTCTGGCAAGACTGCGGGCACCGAGTCGTCTGGCAAGACTGCGGCAGGCACCGAGTCGTCTGGCAAGACTGCGGGCACCGAGTCGTCTGGCAAGACTGCGGGCACCGAGTCGTCTGGCAAGACTGCGGGCACCGAGTCGACTGGCGGAACAGCGGGCACCGAGTCGTCTGGCAAGACTGCGGGCACCAAGCCAACTGGTGGAATAGCAGCTTCGAGTCGTCTGGCAAGACTGCGGGCACCGAGTCGTCTGGCAAGACTGCGGGCACCGAGTCGTCTGGCAAGACTGCGGGCACCGAGTCGTCTGGCAAGACTGCGGGCACCGAGTCGTCTGGCAAGACTGCGGGCACCGAGTCGTCTGGCAAGACTGCGGGCACCGAGTCGTCTGGCAAGACAGTGGGCTCCGAGTCAACAGGCACGACAGTGGGCACCACCAGGGTCATCAGGTATCGGATTGTCTGGCTCGACAGCGGGCATCGGGTCACCAGGTATGACAGCGGGCACTGGGTCACCAGGCATCAGGTCATTTGGCTTGCCAGCGGGCACCGCGTCATCTGGCAAGGCAGTGGGCACCGGGTCACCAGGTATGACAGCGGGCTCTGAGTCAATTGGCACGACAGCGGGCACTGGATCAGGTACCGGATCATCTGGATCAACAGCGGGCATCGAGTCAACTGGCCTAATAGGATCGTCGGGCTGGATCAGTTCATCATGCTGAGTAGCGGCATCAGGCTGAGTAGAGGCATCAGGCTGAGTAGAGGCATCAGGCTGAGTAGAGGCTTCAGGCTGAGTAGAGGCTTCAGGCTGAGTCACGGAAGGCAGGTTCACCGGTTTGGATACTAGCAGGATGGTATTGGTTGGAAAGAATTTTCGCTTTTTTCTGGTTTTAATAACTACTGGAGCACTGCAAGAAAACGCAGGTCTGCAAACGAATGGAGCAGCTGGAGACAGAGAAAAACTGGAGGATGGAACAGGAGAGGGAGCAGTTGCTACAGAGGGCTTTTTTACAGGGTTAAAGGCAGGATAGGTGCAGCGAGTGGGAACAGGGTACTGACATGCGGTAGATAGCCAAGTATACTGGGCTGTAACTGGAGGAGCTGGTGGGAATACAGGAGTAGAGCTTTGAGGAGATAGATTAGAAGCAGGACTGGGTCTTTGTAAGCTGACTGAGGCTGGGTGTAACAAATCTGTCCATGTCTGCAGTATGGGTTGAACAAAGCTGAGCTTACACAAAGCCTGTCTGGTCAATGACTGCACTGCGTTTATACAATCTCTTAGTGTCTGTGGTGAACATGTGGAATAACGCTCCAGAAAGTAACCTACATCATCCTCTAATAACCACACCAGGGACTCTACTGGTCTGCACTAAATGGTGGCAAAAATTCATCCCTGCATTCGGGGGGGAACCAGATGAAACCAACTCAGCACAAACCTCAATCAAAGGCTGCACCTCAAGTTCTGATTAAGCACTACTCCACTGTCATCAAACTACTAGCAGATATAAATACACAACCTCAAACCAGAACCATCCCCTTTCCCCCCAACAAGCCAAAAGATGGCTTTCCCTTTTGCATCCACTTCTGGTCAGGATTGGCCTTGGTGAAAAGTTCAGGGCTCCCAAATGTGACCAGAGGTTGTGGCGGAAAGCAGGGGAAAAAGCAACCCCAATATGAAAACAAAAATAATTTATTAAAAACTAAAAAAAACCCAAAAAAAAACCCAATCAATACCTTTAAAACAATAAAAGGGGGGAGGAAACCAAACCAAAAACCCCTGGGGGCCGGGGCCCCACAAAAAGTAACTACCAAAAACCCTTTTACCAAAAGGAGGCCCGGGTCTTAAAAATAGGGGAGGGGGGGGTTACGGGGGGGTTAGCAAGGGGGGGAAGGGGGGGGGGACAGGGGGGGTTGGGGGGAAGGGACATAAGGGGGGGGGGGGGTGGGGGGGGGGACCAGGGGGGGGGGGGGCCAGGGGGCAAGGGGGGAATGGTAGGGGGTTAAAGGGTTAGGGAATAATTAAAAGGGGGAAGGAAGGGGGGTTGGGGGGGAAGGGGGTAGGGGTGGGGAAGGGGGGGGAGGATGGGGGGGGGGGGGGGGAAACAAGAGATTAAAGTCCCGAGGTTCAGAAACCCGGATTCAGGAAAGAAACAAATTTAAAAGGGTAAGGGAAAAAAACAAAAAAGGGAAAAGTTGTGGGGGCTGGCCCTCCCTTTAAAAACCCCCAAAACAAAATCATTTTCCCTTTTTTTAACTGGGTGCAAAGTTGAGTCTCTGATTGCTGGGAGAAACCGCTGGGGCCCGCCCTGGTAAATGCAGATCAAAAAGGGGAGGTTTAGTCCCACCCTTGCTGGGGCCCGGGGGGCCATTTTTCCCGACGGGACTGTCCCAAATCAGAGATGGGGAGAGGGACCCTGTGGAAACCCAAGTAGAAAAACTCACAAACAAAGAGAGAAACTAAAGGGCCCTTTTGTTAAAAAGGAATGTTTTTCCATCAAATGGGCCTTTTGGAAACCCCTGGGAAAAATTACCTGTTAGAAAGGGGCCGTTCAAATTTGTTTCGATCATGCCCCGCTCAAATGGGGTGTGTTATAATAAGGAGAAAAACATTTTAATTTACAAGGTGGTTTCTCTCGCTACAAGTGGGTTTAAAATTTACAGTGGGCCCCAGAGCGGGGAAACTGCAAAATAAAGTATATGCCCTTTTCCCCCGGGGCCATTGCCTGGTTGGGGCAGTGCTCAAAAAACCGCAGGGGGCTTGACAGGGGGGGGGGATATGTACAAAATATGAAAAAGGCAAAAAGGGGTGGGGTGGGAAGATAAATTTTCACCCTCGCAAGAGATCATACTGTAAGGGAAACCCCCCCTGGCGGTACCACAGCGCCCACTTATTAGGCGCTCCCATGGCAAAGGAAGGGCTAAGCCCCAGGGTCTTGTTCACCATTTACCCCCTGATGGTGGGGGATGGACTTGGAGTACCCCCGGGGGACCAGGTCGTGGCTCCCCCAGTACGCCTGTCAGGGTTTGGGGTATTTCGCCCCGGGGGGTCCCACGGGGGGAAAAGGGTCGGATGGGGGAGGAGGTCGGGAAACCCCGTGGGGATGGATTTATGGATTTTGGGGAGCAGGTTTCAAGGTCAGACAAGCCGGGTCGGGAACAGTGGGGTTTTTGGGGGGTACAAATCAGCGGGTAAGAAATAGTCGGGTCCCCAGCCCCGGACCAAAAACCCAAGGCCCATTAAGGGCCCGATTAGGGGGGAAAATGGGGCATCCAGGGAGAGGGCAGGGGAAGCCAGGGGTCAGAGTGGGGGAAATCCCGCAAGGGGTCAGGTTTTAATCCGGTCAGGGGAATTACAGGAAAAAAGGATCACAGGTACAGGTTTTCAGAAAGACAAAAGGGCCTGAAAGAAAAAAGCTCAGGGCCGTTTAAAAAAAAAACTTCCCTGCCTGTCATTTTTGGGGCCCGGGTGCGCGAGGGCCCTGGGGGGTTTCCTACTGGCCGGAATTAAAGGGGAAAGCGCAAGCCTGAATGCTGGGGAAAACCAAAGGGAAATGGGTGCCCGGCCACGCAGAGAAGGCGCATTCTGGCCCCCGCCTGGGGCCGGGACCCAGCCCGGGGGGGATCCCGGAAAATTTTTTCCCCCCCAAAAAGGCAAAAAACCCCCCGGAGCCCACCCCGATCTCCCCCCACGGGTGATCACGAAGAAAAATCCCGGGGCAAGGGCCAGGTCAAAAATATGTTGGGTAGGTTCCCAGGAGTTTTTCCTCTGGACCATAACCCTTCCCTTTAATTAAGAACTGGGTCTGACCCCCCCCCAACCTTCGGGTTTTCACTTTTAGGAAATTTGGGTTTTAACCCTCAAAATTTTTCCCCTGCTCTTTTGATAGTTTTTGGGGCCTCTTTGGGGGTCTGGACTCTTTTTTGGGTCTTTTGGGAAAAGGGGGCAGGGAAAAATGGTTTTCAGCAGGGGTACGTGGAAAACGGGGGTGGGTCTTTTTTCGTCCCCAGGGGGGAATTGGCTCATATGCCACATTCGTTGATCTAACACGCCCTTTACACAGAAAGGGGGGGGCCAAAAAACTTTTTGGGCCCAATTTTCCTTTACGGACACAACATTTTCAAATTTGGGCGTTGCCAAAAACCAGACCCTTTTCCCCCAGGGTGCAGCACCAGGTCCCCCCTTTGTTTTTTTATCAAACCCCTTTTTGTTAATTTCCCCCTGGGCCCTCGTGATGGGCCCCCTGCAGTAAGGGTTTTTTTTTTTTGGGGGAGAAAATGGGCCAAATGCGTCTTGTTGCTGGGGAACTGGGCATTCGAGACCAGATCCGGGAGAAAGGGCAGGGGTAAATCCGTAGTTC